TAATGAACTAGCTCGATTAAATAAAAATTAACCGAGAATACTTTCAACTTGAAATTTTAAATGAATAATTTAATAACTGAGCTCGAAATTAGGAACGAGCATTATTAATAAAAGTAATTAGTTCAAACTTAGAACTAAAATAATTACTTTTATTAATTACTAAATGGGATATTACACATGTCACATCTCTAGTCACATCAATGACTCTAGTCTCATCAAAGACTCACTCATGTACATCTATGCTCATCAAAGCTAAGCCATGCCATATCAGTGAAACATGGGAGTGCGTGCCACATCAATGACACGGCCTTCTCATAGGTCTTAATGAGATTTACCTCACAGGTAACCGTATCTTATCATACGGGGACAACCGTACCGACGGCCATCAAGCTCACATCGATAGGCTACATGCTCATTTTCATACATAGATCACACCAAACTTTCATCACAATTTAAAATCACACATATGCATAGATAATTTTAGAATAACCCACCTGGAAATTCCGGATTGATGATAGCAAATCAGAAAAGATGAGGACCGAGGCTCGACCCCTCAAACACCTACATTATGCCAAGATCCTACAATCAGAATCTATCTCGACTTAAACTGGAAATCACAAGACAGACCTAGTCGAACTCGTTTCGACTAAGTAGTTCGTGAAGTCCTGTGGATGTGGAACACTAGGACTCGGCCCTAAACTCGACCAAACCACTTAAGGGAGTTCACAAAAATCCATCTAAGGTTTGACCAGGTCAAACACACATAAAAACCAAAAAGCAAGGCCATCCAAATTCAATATAACAATTATGCTCGAAAATTGAAATCATTTAATCGCGTGAAAAATAAAAGGTCAAGATATCCTACAAATTAAACTCTGAAAATTTATACAAAATTTTATCTCCCAGAAACATGTAAAATCACAAAGTTTCAGCTTTAAACTCGAAATATCCTATTTTAAAATTCGAACAGTAATTCAGCAAAAAGGGAACATTAATCCTTACTCAGACTTAATGAATGAATCTGAACCTGAAAATTTTACACAACAACCATCAGTATGTCAAAGCTCACTTATAAAAATTCCAGCTTTAAATGATAACTGATGCTATTTTTAAAAATTCAAACGAGCAACAGCAGTTTATCGAATTTAAATTCAAACTGAATCAAAACAGACACTAAAAATTTCCATATTTTACAAACATGATCAAACACCTAAAATATGACTCTCAGCAAAATTTCAAAATTTTTCATGCAGTAACCGATTTTTAAAAATTCAAACAACATTTATGCCGAATCAATAAATAAAATATTATCCATATCAAATCAACTCCAAAAATTCCAAAAATTTAACACAACACATATAAGTCACAGAGGCACGACATATTCGAATTTCAGCTCATTTTAGTCAAGCATGAATTTATTATGCCTTTAACAATATTCTGGACAGAATACAAATTAATTATTAAAAATAGCTACAGGTCTCCAAAAATTATGAAAATTTTACACAAGGCAGGAAATTAACAGATAACACATCCCTCAAAATTTCACATTGTTTCGAGCAGCGAGCTATTTTTAAAATATCGAACATCAAAACAGCGATTAACAAGCTCGACAACTTGATAATTAAATCACAACACACAATTTATCGTCCGAGGCCTTTTCATAAGACCAAGGACTCGACATTGTTCCATTATCCACCGACTTACACGACTTTCGAGGTCTCGTTCGATTTTCGAGAAAATCGAAGAGATCCCGAACATAC